TTTTTTTTTAATTTTTTTTTTTTTTTTTTTTTTTTTTTTTTTTTTTTTTTTTTTTTTTTGCAGGATTATCGTTAATCTTTCGGTCGTTGAAAGTTGCCATCCCCCACCGACAAATTTCACCTAAACTTCCATTAAAACTTCATGTGCCCCTCAAGAGTGTTGATTAAGGACAAGAATAATATGGTCAAAACACAATGAAACGTTATAAACTTTAAACTATTTAAATGATTTAATAAATAAAAAGAAAAGAAAATGTGAAAAGGGCAGAATACTATCTTCTTAACCGACGCGACCTCAAGGCTCAAACCCCTAACTTTTCTAGTTGGCAAGGTAGTTAAAAAACCTTTATAAGTTTGGATCGATTTCAATCGATACGTAAAATAGTTACTCCGTGTTGATCTCGATTTTTGCAGGAGTGACGTGGTCAACAGATCTCGGACAATCTCGCGTCCATGTAAATCTTTGTCTTGTACAATTGAACAAATTGTAAGTCGTAAGTGCCTTTCTTCGAAGTGGAGGAGACGATCAAGCACACTTCAACGAACAAGTCAGCCTTTATAAGAGTAAACATTTGAATGTGGGACGTGCTTAATACATGAGCCACTTAAGTAAAAAGGATTCGTATTCGAGGATTATGGAGAAAAAAATAGAGATTGCAAAAGTTGTATGTTGAGAGCAAAAACTTGGATTACATTCAAAGGACACTAAGTGTGTGCTTTTATAGTGGGAGGAGAGAAATAATAACTATTGAATGAATAGACATATGACCTCATTCGTATGGCCGATACTCCTTGTCATAAGTGTCATTATGTGAATCCTACGCGTTTATTGTTGTGACTGTTTGTAACCCTAAGTCTAACACATGGGTTGACTTGACATGTTGGCATGGTAGAGGGCTGCTGCAGTAAGTTATAGTGTCAATCAATCTTGAAAGATTCAAATATTTTATAAATAATCATGCTTTGACTTAGGGGACTATTATGTTGCATTATCCCTTTTGATGGAAAATATTGTTCACAATCAATAAACGGTGTATAGGATGAAAACGGAATTGAAATCGAAATAAAAACGGACCAAAATGAAAACGGAATTGAGAACTGAACAGGGCCAAAATTTGGCCCATGCGACCGCATGGGCAAATATCCATGCGGTTGCACGGTGATGTACCGAGGCCACATGGCCTCGGACTGGATAAACCATGCGGCCGCATGGGTTAAAACCATGCGGTCGCATGGTTGTAAATTAGGGACCTTTGGACAATTTTTTGGTTTGAATTTTGGCGGCTTTTCATTTCATTTTGGCACCATTTCGTGTGGCAATGTTTCATGTGTATAAATAAGTGATTAATGGACATTGAAAAATAATTACAAGTATGTGAAAAACATATAAACAAATCCACATAAAAGAATTAAACTTTCTTCCCTCCATATTCATGTTTTTCAAGTGTTCTTCAAGATTCGGGTGGAAAAATCATTTGTGCTTTTGTGATTTTCTACAACAAGGCTTGATCAATCCTACGAACTATTTGCCATAAAACCTTTTAAGCATCAAATTTGTATACGAGAAGGGGCAAATATCGTTTGAGGACAACTAATCATTTTCGTGTTTGAGCCTTCCATATTGGTTTGTTTTCCTTGTTAATTTCCATCTTCTTGAATTTCTATTTCTTAATTTTCATCTCCATTTTCCCCGATGGCATAAATTTCCAACAATCTCAAACGATATCTTGCGATGGAGATTGAAACCATTTCGGCAATGATCAAGTTGGTGAATCAATAATTGTTCAGTTGGATAACTTTTGATGGGACAAAATTCTGCAAAATAATTCTGGAAAGTGTTGAAAGAAATGTTTCCATTGAAGAATGAAAAGATTGAATCCCGTTTGGTAAGACGAAATTATGTTCAATCTTCACGCATACAAAAAGAAGGTACGCATTGTGAATATAATTTTATC